GTGGGAGGGGGCAGTGGGGGCCCAGGGCAGCACCGAGGTTCCCTGGGGATGCCCATGGGGACGTGCCAGGCACTAGAGAAAGCTCTGCTCCAGAGGAGGGGACTGAGCACCCTTGGCTTGGCACAGGGGCAGAGCCCCCATCCCATCCTCCTGCTGCCCATGGTTTTGCTGCCAGTGTGGGTCCTCCTCTTGAACACTGTTGGGGTTGGTGTTTGGTGTTTTCATTGCCTGCCTTGGCCTTTTGGAGAGGGAGAAGGGGCTAATGGGGCAGTTTGGTGGGGGAAGAAGGGCTCAGGCTCTGCCCCTGGGCTGCACGTGCTGAAAGCTCCATGTCTGCCCACCTCCACGGTGTCCAAACCCTCCTGAGGAGATGGATGCTGCTCTCATGGGTTTGAACACCAAGAAATAAAGAGTCAGAAACAGGCTGGGCTCTCCAAACCTCCCCAAGGAAAACACTGGCAGCAGCTGGAGGGGGCCACAGGTGGGAGCTGCCCCTCAGGATGGGCCAGAGAAGTGGAGGAGAGATGGAAAATTAAATATCCAGACAAAGGGAAGAGGTTGCGATTGTAAGATTGGGCTTGGCAGTGTAAGAAAGGGAAGAGACAAAAGCAGTCTCCGAGCAAAACGCTGGAATTTAACTTTCACAGCTGCAGAAGGAAAACAATGCCTTCCCACACAAAACTCACTGATGGGCTGCGCTGATGAGGAGATGTCTGAGGAATTTCAATTAAAAGCCAGCGACACTGACAAAGGCGATGAGATTGAAGTGTTGAGAGGTAAGTGAGGGATGGGAGGGGAGAACAATAACTGGCGAGGGAGGGAACGGTGCCTGCTCGGTGCTGCGTGGGCTGGGCCCTTCCCAAGGCAGCAGAGTCCTTGCCCACCCTGGCAGGGAGCTGGCATCCAGCTCCAGCTGTGGCCCCTGCCTTGTGCACCTCCCTCTGCTTCCCTGTGCCCTCCATGGGATGTGCTGGCTGCAGCAGGGCTGTCCCCTCTGTCTGACCCCTCCGGGGGACATTGCTCCTCTGCAGGATGACACTGAGCTCCCTGGGTTTGCCTGTCAGCCCCAGCTGCCCTCCCACACCTCCCATCCAGGTGATGCCACTGCCTTCAGGCTCTTTCTCCACAGCCCGGGCTCTGTGTGCCCTTGGCAAAGGACCTGGAGCAGGGCTGGCAGAGTGACACGGGGCTGGGAGAGTCACAGTGTGGTTTAGGTTGGAAAAGGCCTCTGAAGTTCATCCAGCCCAACTATTCCTCAGCACTGCCAAAGCCACCACTGTCCCATGTCCCCAAGTGCCACATCCACAGGGCTGTTAAATCCCCTCAGAGATGGGAACTCCACCCCTGCCCTGGGTGGCTGTGCCAGGGCTGGACAGCCCCTCCAGGAGGAAATTCTCCCAAATATTAAAATATAAATTCAAATCAAATATCAAATATAAATCCACCCTGAGCTCCCCTGGCCCAGCCTGAGGCTGTTCCTTCTCCTCCTGTCCCTGTTCCCTGGAGCAGAGCCCGACCCCCCCGGCTGTCCCCTCCTGGCAGGAGCTGTGCAGAGCCAAAGGTCCCCCCTGATCCCCCTTTTCTCCAGGCTCAGCCCCTTCCCAGCTCCCTCAGCCCCTCCTGGGGCTCCAGCCCCTTCCCCAGCCCTGTTCCCTTCCCTGGATACGCTCCGGCCCTTCCATGTCATGAAGGGCCCAAAACTGACCCCAGGATTTGAGGCAAAGCTTCACCAGTGGCCAGCAGAGACAGAGAAGCCCTCAGGCCTTGGCTGGTGGCACTGCAGCAGGTGACAGCAGAGGCACCACGAGCAGCACATGGAAAGAGCCTGCAGCATCCTTCCTGCAGTCACCATGCAAGGAAGATGAATGTCTTCCAAGCTGGCACAGCTGACATCGTGCCTGATGGGAATAGCTCGTCCTTGCAGGCTGCCTGCTGGAGAGACGGCTCTGCTCCCTCCGAGCTGGCAGCAGGAGCTGGGAGAGGCAGGGATGGCAGAGCCCTGCCAGGCCCAGGGAACACGGGGGCAGCTGTGGCACGAGCCAGCCTTGGAACAACCCGGAGCAACGGGAGGAGGCAGGCGGGGAGGGAAGGCCTCACACCGAAATATCTCGCTTGGCTCTGAGCACGGCATGGAACTTCTGGCACACAGAAGCCTGCCAAGTCCCGTGCCAAAGAAAACAGGCAGATTTAAAGCCCTGAGGCGCAGTGTTTGTGCAGAGCAGCTGGGCAGAGCACGGCGCTGGGCCCCGGGTGGGCTCCTGGTGTCTCCAGCCCTGTGCACAGCTCTGTTCCCTGCCGGGGCTGGCTGAGCAAAAGGCAGGTGCCATCGCCACGGCTGCTGGCACAGGTGGCACTGGTGGCACCATCTGCCTCTCCGTGCTCACATTTATACAGCAGCTCAACGGCTGACCACCCTGATGGGGACAAGCTGTTTTTGTGCCTTTAAGGACAAATTTACATATATGTAGATGGCTCGGAGTAGCGGCTAGCCCCGCTCAGAGCCCTGCCAGATGCTGCTTCCCCGAGGCACGCCGTATCTCCAGGCGTCTGTTGTTCCATTAAGCTATTTTTAGCAAATATATCCCCCTTAGTTCAGCTGCCGTTATCTGATTAGTTCCTGTAACTATCTGAGGAGCAACATCTCCAGGCGTGACTGCGATTCTGAGCAGGCTGTGTCTGTGCACACGCCTTTCTCCAGGAGGGAAACTCGCCGGAGATGCTCCGAGGTCGATTTGGGGGCTGGGGGCAGCGGGATCAGCCCGGGAGCGCACCTTGGCACGGGCGGGATGAACCGGGCGCTTCCCGGCTGCTGCCGCCGCTGCGGAGCCGCTCCTCCGGCGTTGCCCCGGTGCGGCGGCGATGAGCAGCTGGCTTTGTTTGCTCCGGAGCAACAAACGGGGCCGCTGATGGAGATTTCCGTCCTCTTCGCCTGCGGATGGCAGCGGGGCAAAGTCCTGGCGCAGCGGGGCACACCCCGAAGGTGCGCGGTGCCAGGGCAGTGCGTGCCCCCTTCCTCCCGGTGGGCACCGCCAGGAAAAGCCGCACCGGGGGCTGCTGAGAAACCCGCAGCCCGCAGATGGTTCCAGCCCTGCACTTTGTTCCGCGGCCTCGGCCTCTATTGACTGCAGCTGCCCTGGAAAATCAGATTATAGTGCGAAACCGTGGCATCCAGTCTGCTCTGCCGAGGCAGCTTTTCCATCTCCCGCCTGGATTGCCGGGATCCAGGGGATGGGATGATGAGCCTCCAGAGTGACAGCTTTTCCTTCAGCCTCAGCCGTGTTGGAGCTCCTCAGCATTCCCCGGAGCTTGTGACCTCCCCGTGCCCAAGATTGGGGTGGCAGCAGGGGGATCTCACCTAGGAACCGTGCACAGGGGCTCCTAAGCTGGCCCATCTCCCTTTTCCATGGCCAAATCCATCAGAAGCCTGCTGCCTGCTCCTCCTCTTCCCCACGGGGTGCTTCAGGGCCCTTAAACAGGGATTAACCATAGATTTAAGTGCTCCCAAAGGGAAAATCTCATCCATGCCCGCAGTGAGAATGACCCCTCAACATCACCACGGCTGTCACCCGAGCTCTGGCGCTGGCCCCGGGCTCTCTGGGATGCTGATCACTGCCCCGTCAGCTGTCACTCCCTGTGCCGGTGCTGTCACTTTCTCCATCCTCGCCATCTGCCTGCCTGGCTGCTCCTGACAGTGATTTACTCCTCGCTCCCGCTTCGCTGTGCCTCTCCAGACCTCCATTCCCGGCCGGGCTGGGCCGTGCTGCCCGAACGTGTCACGCAGCTGACGACATTTATTCCAGCCGAGGGACCGCCAGTGCCTCGGATGACATTCGGGAGCGGAGAGAGACGCCAAATGTTGCTCTCTGTTGCCGGGATACACTGGGGGAACCCGGGCTCCGTCCCCCCGTGGCCTGGACCCAGTTCCACCCCTACCCCCTCGAGGGATGCTACCGGCGGCGGAGGGTCCGTGACTGCCTCCGCACCGTGCCGGCAAACCGGAGAGGGATGGAGGCGGCTGCGGGACTGACCCCAAACCGGGCTGAGGGACGGACCCCAAACCGGGCTGTGGGACTGACCCCAAACCGGGCTGTGGGACTGACCCCAAACCGGGCTGCGGGACGGACCCCAAACCGGGCTGTGGGACTGACCCCAAACCGGGCTGCGGGACTGACCCCAAACCGGGCTGTGGGACTGACCCCAAACCGGGCTGCGGGACTGACCCCAAACCGGGCTGCGGGACGGACCCCAAACCGGGCTGTGGGACTGACCCCAAACTGGGCTGCGGGACTGACCCCAAACTGGGCTGTGGGACTGACCCCAAACCGGGCTGCGGGACTGACCCCAAACCAGGCTGTGGGACTGACCCCAAACTGGCCTGTGGGACTGACCCCAAACCGGGCTGCGGGACTGACCCCAAACTGGGCTGTGGGACTGACCCCAAACCGGGTTGAGGGACTGACCCCAAACTGGGCTGTGGAGCTGCACCCCCTCCCCACTGTTCACCCCGCCAGCGGGGCTGGCCTGTGCGGCGTGGGGCACCCCACGCTGCTCCCCGGGGTGCGGGTGCCAGCCCCCATTCGATGTTCCCTCCGCTCCTGCAGACCCGCCAGAGGCGTCTCGCGGTGCCCCTACGGTAACGCGCCTCGGGACCGGGGCGTGCAGGGGCGGCGCGGGGAGCGGTGCCCCCCGTCCTCGCCTCCCTTCACGCGGGTACAGACCCCCCGCACCCCCACTGTGGCCGTGCCCGCTCCCTCCGGTGCCCGCGGTGCCCGCGGTGCCCCCGGTGCCCCCCGCTCCTCCCGGTGCCCGCGGTGCCCCCGGTGCCCCCCGCTCCTCCCGGTGCCCCCGGTGCCCCCCGCTCCTCCCGGGGCCGGCGCTGCGGGACGCGGAGGGGGCGTGGTCACCGACTCTGCCCCGCCCCTTCCCGCCCTCCGCGCGCTCCCATTGGCGGAGGGGCGGCGCGGGGCGGGGCCGGCGCGGGGCGGCGGCGGCTCCGCGCCCCCCCAGCCCCGGCGCGGCGGCGGCGGCGGCCCCGGGATGTCGCGCAAGAAGGCGGCTCGCAGCAAAGGCGGCGGCGCCGCGCCCTCCGCCGCGCTGCCTCCCGCCGCACAGGGCACCGGCCGCTCCGCCGCCGCCCCCCGGGGCAGCTCCGCCGCCGCCGCCGCCCCCGAGGTGCCCCGCAACGGCGGTGCGGCGGCGGCCGGGCGGCCCTCGCTGAGCAGCAGCGGAGAGTTCTACGACCTCGCTTTCAAGGTGCGGGACCGGAGGGAGCAGCGGGGAGGGCTGCGGGAGTGCGGGGTCAGGATGCTAACGGGGACGTCGCCGAAGTTCCCCGGGGCCAGGACCGGGCGGGCATCCCTTGGTCCCTGCATCCCTCCGTCCGTGCATCCCTCCGTGCCTGCATCCCTCCGTCCCTGCATCCCTCTGTCCCTGCATCCCTCCGTCCCTGCATCCCTCTGTCCCTGCATCCCTCTGTTCCTGCATCCCTCCGTCCGTGCATCCCTTCGTCCCTCCTTGCCCGGATCCCCGCTTCCCTCTCTCCCAGCCCCTCCGCACCGCCCGGTCGGGGTCTCGCTCGGCGGGGGCTGAGCCCGCAGAGCCCCCGGCAGCGGGGCTGGGGCTGCGGGACTTGTGCAAGTGACGGCCAAAAGCTGCTCCGGGGAGCTGCTGGAACCTCCCGGATCCTCGTTAACCTACAGAAAGGCCGGGCTGCGAGCAGGGTGATGGCACCCCTCGAGTGGCACCGAGGGTGCTCCGGCTGCTGCTGAGATGTCCCCAGCCTTGCGGGCTCCGATCTTCTCTCGCTGCTTCAGACCCTGGCGAGCAACTCCCAGAGCAAACGTCTCTGCTCCCTCCCCACTTCACCCTGCGACTTGATGCAAGCCCGGCTTGGAGCTCATTAGATGATTTTGGGGCTCATTTAGTGATTTTGGCTGCAGACACGACTCGGTGAATCCCCTGTGTGTTGGTAACTCGGATCTCGGTGCCAACCCGGGGGATCGTGCCTGGCTAGCACGGGTTTGCTCTGGCAAGTCCCACCTTGGTGTGTGATGGTGAGAGCTTGGTGCCTGTGGCAGTCGGTGCAGCCCTCGTGGTGCTGAGGTTTGGGATGTGGGCTAGGAGGTGTTGAGGTTTGGGATGAGGGGTCGGAGAGGGACGTTCCAGAAACATTCTTGGTTGCTTCTGTAGGTGCTTGGTCCTGATACAGCTGCATTAATGGTTCAACAGCTTCCCCAAAATGGAGCCACCTCTGTGTTTGCACTGGTCCTTGGCTCCTGGAGCTCACCTCTGCCTGCCCAGGCTGGGGCTTTCCCTAGGGATCATCCCCATGGCATGAGGGTGAGCCAAATGTGTCTCAGATAAGCCCAAATGCACCGGGTAGACAAAATATCTGCCAGTGGTCTGGCTGATTTGGACCCAGTGGCAGAAAGAAATTGCTTTGTAGCCAGTAAAAGCCTGGTTTATTAAACTTTCTCCTTCCCTTTGCCTCTCCTGAGGCTCCTGATCTCTGCCTGATGCGGTGGCCAGGTCCTGGGCACAGAGCTGACCCTCTGCGTGCCCGGGTTTGGTGCTGCTGAATGGGGAGAAGCTGCTGTTGAGGGTCACCTATTCTAAAAATATGTCTAGAAAATATTTTAAAAATCAATATTTTGTAGTAAAATGACTTTTTTTCCCCCCTTCCCTTGGCTTCACACTGATACTCCCATGAGCTCTGGCTGCCTTCACCCCGCTGTGCCAGGGCTCGGTGCCTGCTGCTCCTGTGGGACACCAGTGTGAGGCTCTGCTGGGGCTGTGGGGCACCGTGGGCAGACCCTGCCCTCCTTGGCAGTGCCAAAACGAGCTGCAGCTGGGGCAGCTACTGCCTCTCAGGGCTGGGCTGCAGAGGGGTGGTGGCATTTGCCACTGCTGGCAGCTCCTGGGAGGGTTCGGTGTGACCCAGGGCAGTCCCTGCTGCAAAGCCATTTAAATCCTGTCACGGGTTAATGGCTCGTGGAAGGCTGATGGCAGAGCCTTGGGAGAGAAGGAACCTGGCACGGCAGGTGTGGAAGGAGCTGGCACAGCCCGGCTCCCTGCTCCCGGATTTCTCGGTGTCATCCTGCCGAGGGCAGCAGAGTCAGTGCCCTGGGGGGCAGCGGGGCTGTTGGTGTGGGCAGAGGTTTTGGGGAGCTGCGTTTGGAAGCAGCCCCAGCTCTGCCCTGGTTGTTTGTGGCGAGGAGCTGCCTGCCCTGTCTGTGCCAGGGGGGCTGCTGGGTGGGGAAACTGAGGCAGGGGGCACCGGGAGCTGCTCCCTTGCAGCTGGGGGCTGCAGGGTGGCTGTGGGCATGTGGGGGTCCCACTGAAGGTGAAGGTGGTGCTCATGGCTGGGGACCCCCTGAAGTCTCCCCATGGCCAGTGTCACCCTCCCAGAAAGCCCCACACGTGGTAGGGAGTTTTGTGGGGACAGCACGGGCAGCTGCTTGTTTTTCAGGGGCTTTGTGCCCCCATGAAGGATCTGTTAAGTGCCTGTCAGGGAAGGTGTCTCCAGTTTGGTGACATGGTGCAGGGTGGGGAATAATCCCATTGTGTGTCTCCCCTGGGTCCTAGGACGTCGCTCCTGGACCCGCTGCCCACTGCTGTGATGGAGCAGGGGGATGGCTGCAGTGGGGCTGCCTTCCCAAAACCTGGGGTCTGACACCCCTCCCTCCCTCCCTCCCTGCAGGTGATGCTGGTGGGCGACTCGGGGGTCGGCAAGACCTGCCTGCTGGTGCGCTTCAAGGACGGCGCCTTCCTCGCCGGCAGCTTCATCTCCACGGTGGGCATCGACTTCAGGGTGAGTGCCCGGGCCTCGGCCCTGCCAGGGCTCTGCTTTTGCAGAGGAGTAACCAAACGTTGCCCCAAGGACTTGAACCTCTCCAGCCGTGCCAGCTCGGGGTGTGACAGCAGAGCAGCAGCATCGTCTTTGTTACGGCTTTGCACAGCGATGGGGGAGCCTGTCCTCTGCTCAGCATCCTGGGGATAATTCCTGTAACAACTCAGGCCTGACATCTCCCCGTGAAAATATTTCCCTAAGGCAGTTTCAGTGGTTTTTAACAGTTGTTCAGTTTTTTTCTTGAAACAGCAAAACTGAAACTGATAAAAACCAGAAGGCCCTGGGAGGATCTCCTGAGCACAGCTTTGGGGTGCTGATGTGGGGATGTGTTGTGCTGGGGGATCTCTCAGGGCTCTGTTTGGCTGGGAGGAACTGGAGCATCCCGATGCTGGGAGAGTCTGGGGACAGTGGTCGGAGCTGTGCAGCTCCAGGGAGGACAGTGGGAACCTGCTCCACACAGGCAGTAACAGGGGGCTGGGGGGAAGAAAGGGGATCACGTCATGCCCTGCAATGCCCCAGTGTGCCCAGGGCATCCTTTGCCAGGCAGGAGCATCTGAGAATGGACTGGGGCCCTTGTAACCTTTTCTTGGCCGTGTTTCCCTGTCAGTCCCGTGCTGGGGGGGCTGCCTGGGGTCTCTGTGGTTCCCTCAGGCCCTGGCCAAGGGTATCCCCACCCGTGGGGTGGGACAGCAGAGCCACAGGAATGGTGACTTTACAGAGATGGCACCAAAGAGCCTTTCCAGCAGCTGTGCAGGGCACGAGGCAGTTCTGGCACCAAAGCAGCGGCCAGCAGCACTCCTGGCTTGCAGGATCAGCTGCTCCCTGTCCCTCACCAGTCCCCAACCATCTGCTCCCTCCAAAGCACAGCTTGTCTCCTCCCTGGTGTCTGGGCAGTGCTGCTCTCCCTGCCCTGCCCCTGGGGCACCGGCTGGCTGAGCAATGGATTTGGCTCTGTCTGGGGGCTCTGTGGGTGCTCTGAAGAGCTCCTGGTGATGCCACACACCAGGGCTGTGTCTTCCCAGCAGGATCTCGGATCCTGACTTTTCCTGGAGGATTTCTGGGAGGTGAGTGTCTCTTGTAACCTGCTGCTTGGCTGGGGTGTGAGTGCTAACTCTGGTGCAGTGAGATGGGGCAGGGGTGAAGGACAGCTCAGGAAGCCCTGGGGAAGGAAGGGATGTTCTGTGCCCAGTGAGGCGGGGGGCTGCTGCAGGGGAAATGGGTAAATTGGGGTCTGTCATTTTATACAAAGGTAATTACACAGCGTTTCAGGTGTTCTTCAAATAAAAGCGTTTCCTTACTGATTGCAGTGATTGATACACAGGGCAGCCATAAAGCCCTGTGACTTATTGATTAGAGTGCTGAAATGACTGTTACTGAGAAGCAATCAAATTAGAGTTAATTTACTTCTCTAATAGAGCTGCTATAGCTACATGTCTCTGAAATGGGCAGATTATACAGTGGGGGAGATCATGTGTATGCCCTAAAACTCATTATTATCATCCTTGTAAGGCATTCGTAATTTTGGGGGGACATGGAAATAGTTTTTTGATGTGCCTCTGCATTCCCACCAGGATAATCCTGTTTGGTAATTGCCCCTCTTGCCCTGGGCACTGCTACGCAGATGATACTCTGGGGTGGCAACACTGGAGGTTTCTGCTGGTTTTAATTTGTGTCTTTTTAATGACGGAATGTCGTTATCACAGCTCCTTCTCTCTGCAGCCCGGAGTCTGGCCGGGGTTTGCTGGCTGAAGCAGGCGAGGTGGCAGCGGGGGGAAGGTGCCCCTTGGCCCGCTGTGAAGGGTGCTGAGTGAGCACAGGGGGGTTATTCTGGGGCTGGGCAGGGTTTGTGCCAGACTCTGAGCCTGGCTGGCACCAGGGACTGCCGGGACGTCCCCAAGGCCAGCGCGTGTGGCAGCTGCGCTCCCGTGCACGCGCGGCCTTGTTCGGGACCTGCCGGGTCCTGGGGCCCATCCTGGCTCAGGAAACCTCGGGCACGGAGCTGCCCAGCTCCAGACGCTGTCCTGGGCACCTTCTCCACTCTCCCTGATGCCATCTGGTCCCTGCAAGAGCTCTGGAATGGGAGGGAGCCGCGCTGGGGCAGCCCCAGGCCAGCCCAGCTCCCTCCTCCTCTCCCAGTCCATCCTCTGGCCCCAGTGGGCTCCAGGATCCATTGCTCATTTTCAAGGATGTCAAACCATCAGATGCACCCAAAGCTATGGCTAATGCATTACACAGGCCAGAGCGAATGTAAATGAATAGAAATCCATTTAAAATTAATCTGGCATTACTATTCCTAATGGCCCCTGAGGTTTGTTCCCTCCTACTGTTTTATGTGAGGGAGAACCTCCCGCGATGTGTTTGTTTATTATCATCTCTTAAACAAAGAAGGATGTTGATCTGCATGTGTTTGGAAAACAAACCACCGATGCTGGGGAAATAAAGATGATTGTAATATTTAAAAAAGCATCAAAATGGCACCTGTTGGCTTTGAGCTTTGGAGGCGCTGAGTCCTCAGTGTTCCATCTTGGGAAAATTTGGTTTGCTGGGGGAGCATCTTTAGCTCCTGGGGATGATTCCAGCCTTCCCAGTTCAGCTGGGACAGGGTCAGGTGTCCCCAGGCTGAGGGTTTGGCTGGGGGTGCAGTGTGGCTGAGCCCCCATTGCAGATCCCAGGGAGGAGATACCTGGTGAGGGGTCCTGCTCCCGGCAGAGCTTTGGCTGAGCAGAAACCTGTCTGAGCTCCTGAGCTGTCCCCCCCGGCTGGGGGACAAACCCCTCTCTGCCTTCAGCATCTGGATCACAGGTGTCACCTCCAAGGTTGCATTGCTGGATAATGAGGGGCTTAATTACTGCCCAGCACGAGGTCCTGCCTGGGTGCCTCTGCTTGGGGGGGTCTCTCCCCACGGATCCCCACTGGTGAGGGCACAGCAGCTCTGGGCAGGCTGTGTGTGCTCTCCTGGCTCTGTACATTCGGGTTCCAGGGAGAAGGAGCTCCTGGAACAGATCAGGTTTGATGCTCAGGGGTGCGAACCCCGATGTCCTCAGTGCCACGGCAGGAGCTGCCTCTTCTTGTGATTTTGGCAACGCTTCAGAAACCTCGACAGAAATTCAAGCTGTGCAGCCAGGGGGATCTGTGTGCTGTCGTGACAGCTGAGTGATGGGAGTGTCACCGAAGTGAGAAGCCAAAGGGCTGCGTGAACCCCCTTTGTCCCTGTCCCCAGGGACACCTGGGCTCTGTGGGGCTGCCTCACAGCCCCGAGCCTTGCAGGGCTGGCCAAGGGGAGATTTTTGTACTAATTGGACCTGAAAGGAGAAGAACATAAAAGAAAAAAATTAAGGATGAGCCTTTTCTCCCTGGGAAGAGGTGCTAATGAGCTTCTTCGCATTAGCAGGGGTGATGGTTCCCGTGTTAATCGTGGGGTGAAACCACTGGGAAGCTTTTTGGTGGAGTTCAGAGCTGGGTGGCTTCTGGCGGTGCTGTCGCAGGTGTGCAGCGGTGTCACCCCTCTGTGCTGCCCAGGACAGGCAGCAAAGCAGCATCCTGGCAGTGAGCTCCGGAGGAGCAGGAGCTCCCGAATGCCAGGGCAGGCTCTGGGCACAGGGGACATTTCCTTGGAAGGCTCAGCTTTGATGTGCACAGGTTGGCAGCGCTGTTGGGGGGTTCAGCTGCCCCCCAGCACAGCCCCCTCGGGAGGCTCCGTGCTCTGCCTTGGCTGTGCTTAATCTGGGACGTGCTGTACATAAAACCTGTCCCCGGTGGCCCTGAGCTCTAAGGACTCCTGATTACACTCAGCCTGTGCGGCTCAGGGGTGGAATCAGCAGTGTGTAATGTGGTTTTTTTCTACATGGGAGATTCGTTGCATCTCTGCTTATTTTTTGCTGTGTTTGTGTGTGCCCCTTCCACGGGCTGCCCCCGGCTCCTGCAGCGAGCTGGGCCTTGCAGGAGGATGGGACCCTTTGCTCCAGCCCTGCAGGTGTGCAGAGGAGCAGGGACCATGCTTTGGGTTCACCCAGACTGGTTCTGAGCGTGAAAATATGGGAGAGGGCTGTGGGTGCCCTGAGCGTCTGCTGGTCCCCAGTGGGTGCCCACATCCCTGCCCTCGGGGTGGTCCCCCTGTCCCCAGCAGGTGCCCACATCCCACCCACATCCCACCCACATCCCACCCACATCCCAGCCCTCACAGCCTTTGCCTGGTGCCTCCCTTTGAAGGACTGGAGCCTCCTGAAAGCCAGGGCTGGCTTTTATCTCAGCGGTTGGCACAGAGCATTAGCAGGGCTCATTTTCTGATGGATCAATCTGGAAAAAGTGGGAGGGGAGCTGCTTAGGCCAGAAGAAAGAAATGGAAATAAATTAATTTCAGCATCTTTCTGTGCAAATTTAGCCCTGGATGTTACAGGGAAGGAACTGGGCAGGGTGTTTAGCCTCTCCTTTGCTGTGTGGGGGTCAGGATGGGGGTTTGCTGCAGGGGGGTGGGTTTAGGTTGGTCTCCAGGGCCAGAGCTCTGGAGGGAAGTGGCCTTTTTCTGGGAGAAACATCTTGGTGCTGCCAAGTTGCTTGGACCCTTCATGGGGCCATGCCAGTGGCAACAGAGGTGCAGCCAGGATGGGGAAGGTGGGGCAGAAGTGGGCAGGGGATGCCTGGGCTCCCACCTTGAGCATGCCCATGGCAAATGCTTGGAACTGGATAAGCTTTAAGGTCCCTTCCAACCCCAACCATTCCATGTTTCTGTGTGTTTCCAGCAGCTCTTTGTCTGAAAAATCAGTTTGCTCTGCAGCTCCCATTGCTGGATAAATTTTAATAGCAGCCAGTAGCTGATTTCATATTTTTGCATTTCTCACTGTATGGAGAGCTGGGCTTAATTTGCCCAGAGGAGATTTCCATCCCTGCAAGCGTTCAAGGACACGCTGGATGGGGTTTGGATCAGCCTGGTCCAGTGGAAGGTGTCCCTGCTCTCGGCAGGG